GGGGGGAGGCTGCCAGAAGGCCGCTGCTCCTGCCGAGTCGCTGCGTGGCTGCGGCGGCCCCAGGCGCGTGCACCACCAGGACAAAAACAGTGCCGGCGCCAGGGCGGAGCTAGCCGGCAACGCCAGGAGAAAGCCGAGGCCGGGTGTCCTGCCGCCCTGACCCTGACCCTGCCGCGGGCTCCCTTCCCTCCCCCTCCCTCTCCCGCTCTCGTTCTCCCATTCTCTGTGTGTCTCTCTCTCTCTCTCTCGCTCAATCTCCTGTCCTTGCTGGCTGGCCGTCCTCCCGTGTGGAGGCCGAGGCCGAGGGCGAGGGGGAGGAGGAGGAGGAGGAGGAGGAGGAGGAGGAGGAGGAGGAGGAGGAGGAGGAGGAGGAGGAGGAGGAGGAGGAGGAGGAGGAGAAGGGAGGAGGAGAGGAGGAGGAGGGGAGGGGGAGGGGGAGGGGGAGGGGGGAGGGGGAGAGGAGGAGGGGGAGGGGGAGAGGAGGGGAGGAGGAGGAGAGGGGACAGGAGGGGAGGAGGAGGCGGAGGAGGAGGAGGAGAGGAGGAGGAGGAGGAGGAGGGGTGGGAGCGAAGAGAGGGGGAAGAGGCCCTCCGAGTGGCAGAACTGAACCTCGAGCAGGCCACGGGGTACCAAGGGTCGCTTAGGGTACCCACTGGGAAGGGCTCTGCAGATGCTTGGCCAGGCGCTTGGACTTGGCAGGCGGGCACTTGCCGGCCGCGGTCTTGATCCTGGATACGGCGGGTGCTCCGCACGCCTTGCAAAAGAGACGGACTGAGGGGGCCCCGCCCCGACAACAGCAGTCACGCCCAGCCGGAGTCCGTTCGGCTCTGCCGCAGCCGACTGGAGCGCTGACGATGACTTCATGCAGCTCGTTCTAGCAAGAGTTCCCCTTCCCTGACTCTGGATCCGCCCTACTTTGAGGAAATTCGTAAGCAGGGCTTGGAATTTCTGCCTTACTTTTCAAGCCCCGCTGATGCCAATTTCCGCCCTACTTTTGTGTTGCTGTTTCCGCCCTATTTCTGTGGGTTTCCGCCCTACTTTATGCTGGGTGCTGAGATTATACTTTTTCGGCTTCTTATAGGTGGATTTCCGACGCAATTTTAAGTTGGAAAAAAGCCAAAAAGTAGGGCGGATCTGGAGCCAGAGTTCCCACTCCATGGCTCCGGACGCGCCCACCCACCTCGGAGGCGGGCCCAACAGAAGCTCTCACCAGCTTGCCACATGGAAGGCCCTGGGCTTCGGCCGAAGATCATGCATCCTTGCCGCTGCTTTGGCAATCCTCCTCCTCCCCTCCTTCTCCTCCTCCTCCTCCTCCTCCTCCTCCTCCTCCTCCTCCTCCTCCTCCCCCGTCGTCGTCGTCGTCGTCCTCCTCCTCCTCCTCCTCCTCCTCCTCCTCCTCCTCCTCCTCCTCCTCTCCTCTGGCACGGGGGGGAAGGAGTGAATGACGATCTCGAGGCCGGCTTCAACCATCTGGTGCTGTGCTCCGGTGCACCTCGCTTGCCTAAAACACCCGCCAACCGGTTGCGAGTAGGCCTCCAACCTTGATGCACCATCAGCTCGGTCAGGATTCTGGGCGGCACTGACGACCACGATCCCAGCTCATGCTGCTGCTGCTGCTGCTGCTCCTGGTCCCCATCATCCCCGCCCCTTTCCTGCTCCCCCCCCCTCCTTCTCCTCGACATCTCCCCACAACTGTCAGCATCGTATACCTCTTCCGCTGCTCGTCCTGCACAGCATCATACCTCGCCTCCTCCACTCCCTCGGGTCTCTCCTACGACCGATGACGGACCACCACTGGAGAAACATCGAATGGCACAAACAGGCACTTTCGGAGGTCCGCGCAACTTGCCTGGATCGGCGCTGGAACCCCCCTCCGTGCGGCCCCGGGGCCGCCGCCAGGGGGCTCTGGCGCCGATCCAAGAAATCCGCGCGGACCTTCGAAAGTTCATGCTTACAGTCAACCCGTATAGTAAGGGCCTTGAGCGCCCATTTCGAAGCTCTTATTCCTCTTCGTTTTCTTCTTCTTATTATTATTATTATTCTTATCGCTCGTATTATTAGTATTATTATTCTTCTTCTAATTATTATTATGAGTATTCGTACTATCATTATTATCAGTATTATCATTATTAGTATTGATAGTAAGATTGTTATTATTAGCATTATCATCGTTATCATTAGTATTATTATCTTTATTGTTATTATTATCCGTATTATTATTTTTATCATTAGTATCAGTATTAGTATTATTAGTAGTAGTAGTAGTAGTAGTAGTAGTAGTAGTAGTAGTAGTAGTAGTAGTAGTAGTAGTAGTAGTAGTAGTAGTAGTAGTAGTAGTAGTAGTAGTACTATCATTAGTAGTCGTATGATTCCTCTTCTTCTTCTTCTTCATCTTCTTCTTATGATGACCCTTCTTATTCTTATCATCATCATTCTTATTCGCCTCATTATTCTTACCTTTCTTGTTCTTGGTATGAACATTCTTCTTCTTCGACCTAAG